GTTTTTTCTTTCGTTCTTAGGGTATTTCTAAATTGTTTCTGTTATATAAATACAAATTTACATTTTCTAGAATTTTTCAAAAAAGATGTAGATAGGTATAACATTGATCCAATGTTTCTAGTCTTTGCTGTTTAGATGCACGCATATACATAGCAATATACATATAGACAGACACATGGTAACATACGTATATGCACATATAGGTATTAAATTAAACACAATGCTTTCAGAACATAAGTCACCTGTCTATGTCTCATAAAATCCAGTCTCTCACTCACTCACTCACTCTCAGTTTCCTTATGTAATACTATTCTGAGATGGCTTTTGGCAATAACTCTATTGCCTCTATTTAGATAAGATACATGAATCTCATACTTTTATTCTAAATTCAAGTTCACTCGTCATATCTAATGCCCTTGAAGCAATCTCAAATTACTGTTATTACATGGGTCACTAGAAACCAGAAGCACTAATATAAATTTTAAAGAGAGGAAAGAAAGGAGGAAAACCCCTCATGCAATTAGATCCTGACTAACGGTTGGTTTAATCAATTTGATTTTTATCCCTAAATCCAGTCCTTCCTCTTGAGCTGTCAGCGAGCGAGATAAGAGGCAGTGGTGTAGACGGGGCTGTCTTTTTCCTGCCGAGATGACAGCCACATGGATTACCAAAGCATTGCAAGGGATAGAGAGCAACACAGCGCTGCACCCTCATCCAGTGCGCAATCTTTCTATTTCATTAATTTTTCATGGAATTTCATTTCACAACAAGCTGGCGTCTGCCATCCATCTGCTCCACTTACTATGTCCCCTCTGCCAACTTTTTATTTGCATTTCACAACATTCTCCGGCTGCTTCGCTCCTCACCACCTTGCTGAGATTCCCAATTTACTTTCCATAGATCTGCCTTGTGGGGTTGCTTCCAAAATTCACTCCCAGTTCCCTAAAGATATGTATACTGAACCACTCTGGGACAATAGCTGAATTTCAAGACAACTTTTTTGTTGTTGTTGTCAAATACTCCAAAGAATGACACATAATGTTCCAATACTCAACTCAGCTGACCAGTTAAATAAGTGTTTGCATACTGCATAAATACTTCCCAAAGTCCTTTACTATTTGATGGAAGATGGATACACTTCACTCTGAACTGTGTCCTTCAGTTTACCTTGAATGGGTATCAGTTCCCATTTTGTTTCCAAATAGGTCTACGTTAAAAGAGATTTTTGTTTTAAGTTCTCAGAAACTTTAATTATTTTACATATTGTATACAATAATGGGCTACATATTTAAATATTTTATTTGAAAAATGAATTTGAGGCCAATGTGTATCCTCTTTGAGGAAAATAGACTAACAACAACAACAACAACAAAAAAGAAAGAAAACCAGATGTAAAACACAGAAAATATATACCATTTTAATAAATGAGAATGTCAAGGTGTATTCATGAGACTCTTCAGATATATTATCCTCACAGTCTATGGTTAAGAATTCAATTTTAAGTGATTTATTTTTATGTACTGCACTATTTTTGAAGAGGTCTTCCTCTTAGTCTACCTGAGTTATCTGCTGCTAATAACATTTTTTTTTAAAAAAAAAAAAAAAACCTCAAATCTTAACCTTTTTTTGAGGTTAAAATGAATTCTTTTGCAATATTTTCAGTTATTTTCTAGTGAAAGCAGAATTATCCTGTATAAAGCACAGAATAGATAAAATTGTTTAAAATCATGCTGTATAATTCTACCAAGAACTATACAAATAAAGTGCAATCTTTTAGTTCTCTCCATGTTCTATTGTAGGCAATACTGTATGGGTAGTTAATGATGACAGGTGATAGCCTTCATAACTACCTGCACTAGCATTGTTTTCCAAAAGTCTCTAATTGACCTTAAAGGAGGATAAACTGCCACATTCCACACATCAAATGGGTTCAGACCCTACTTTTACACATGTACAAAAATCAGAAGCTCTGCCCAGCCTTCTCCATGTACTTTTATTTCGCTTGTCACTATCTCATATTAAAGTAAGATTCTCACATTTCCCATTTGTCTAGACAGTGTAAACCACTTACAAATGATTTCTAAAGGAAATCCTAACTAAAGCACCACCTACAGATAACATACAAAGATAAATGATATGAGGTCTCAATAAAATGAAAGTGAGATTTGGGGTAGGGAGATCTATTAAAAGAATTTTCTTTAAAGTTTATCTGGCAGAGAAATGTGAGCTTCTGCTAGGTAACCCTGAGAGTAATATTCTGTGACTAAGTTTTTCTTCCATTTTTGAATCATTAAAGATATGTATTACTTTCTAAGTGGTACTGTGGCAGAAACCTACCCTGTAAAAGAAAGGACCCCATTTCCGAGATGATGGATTGCATTGACCAATAATCATATCCTATCATTACCATAGTTAGGCTGTAGTTTGTGTTAAAGTTCAAAACATAGATTGTTGGATCATAAACAGCACAACGTACCAAAGACACCTTTCAAGGCTACACAGAAAATAAAGAGCCTTTGACACACTCGCCAACTGGATGCTATGATGCACTTAAAAAAAAAAATGAAGCTTGACTGGCAGATGAGCTTGGAACATACATGCACACATACATTTATCATAATTACATTTGCTAACTTACAAGAATAGTTTAACATATTATTATAATCAGCATCTTCCATAATTACTCAATAACCTTTCTAGAATTCCTTAACTGTCTCCCATGCATGTGTGGTTTTTCATTTTGGACAGTCTTAAAATTTGAAGCTATGCTATTCTATCTTGGTGAAGATACATGATTACTAATATAAAAATTAAAGACATCATTGCTCTCGATGGAGTAGAAGAAATGTGCATTTGTCATACAAGATATTACAAATAAACTTATCTTTTTCTTGGAGATAAAAAATATGATTTGCTGTGTCCTGTAACTGAGTATGCTAGCCTTTATTTTGATCATATATAGCTACATTGTTAACTTTGCCAGTAAAAGCAAATATTTAATAATTTCATTTCACTGTCTACCACAGCAGCTGTTGTCAGATGCCACAGAAAAGGCCACTTATACACAGGTCTACACACAATAGAGACTGATATATGATTACCTATTGCCTTTGTTAGGAAAATTTGGAGACTTACGATTGTCAAAATTACTAAGGGTACAAATATTTGCTGTAAAAGTTTTTACTTTGGGTTGTCATGGTTTGGTTTTTAGTAAATAAAAACTTGCTCAGGTTTCTTTTTATTTCCTTCCAGAATGCTTTTTAAGTTAGTATGCCTTATACTTCATGGTAAGGTAAATGAAGGAAGATAAGAATTTCCCTTGGCTTACATTTCTATAGACTGTGTTAGTGTAAATATTGCTCCATTTGTTTTGTTCTAAATAGCTAAACAGACTATAAAAAATATCAGGAAACACAAACACCTGAAGTATAAAGACAATTTTTTCTTTACTTCTTTTAAAAGTGACGTTCATTGTCAAACTATTGAAAGCCATGGTTTTCTTAATATCCATGTCATTTTAGTAGCACATAGCTTTAGAAGAAATCAGTGAGTCAATTTCAAAAATATTTTCAGATAATGAAGTGAACATCAAATACATTTGAGCTGTTTGAGAATTGAAGTACAATTATAAAATCAGCCCCCTCGTGAAACCAAAGATTCTGAAACAATCAAAGGCAGGTGTCAGGTCTCCTTTGCTCTCAGGGGTCTTATGTGTGATCATAATCAAGGACTGTTCGCTTCTGACATTTATGTTTGGTAAATTTGTTACTAGAAAACATATTGGATGCAGGGACTGCTAGGAAACACTTCGCAAACCTAGCAGAAACTTATCTTAGGCTATAGAGATTCTAGAAGGGTTAATATAACCACCACCTCATCTCACAATGTATCCTGCATAAGAACAATTCAAAAATCCCAACTCACTTAAGTTGTGCCTGCTCTGCAAACCTCTAGAAACACTTTAAAAGCTAAAGGAAAACCAAAATACCTTCCAGATGCTGGTAAGAATACTGAACTTCCACCGACTCACAAAGAGTCAAGTTCCTCCCTGAGAAGGAAAGAGGCAGCTTTGGGATCATCTTTAAATCCTTCTGTGGAATGCACACCGGCTAAAGATGCATTCCAGGGCACCGCCTATCACGTTGGAAGAATTGCTAATTTGACACAAACCCTTGTGTGGAATCCCTGCACTTGTGGTGACATTGACTAAGTTCTGTGCAGCCCATTTCCAACACTATCAGTAAGAAGGTACAGAGCCTGAGTTTGTCAGCTGCAACCTGCCATTCGCTCGTCTCTCTTTTTCTGGTTTGCGAGATTTAATTTTCTTTCTTTTCCTACCATTAAGACACAGCGTTTATTTCTTTACTGGCAGTAATTTCTGCAAGGACGTGCCTTGTCCTCTTTGTCTATGCCAGTGTTTACATGACCACGGGATAGCTCACTGACTTAGAAAAAAAAATTAAAATAAATAAAAGCCGGTCAATTTGGGAAGGAGATTGCCAGGGTTCTGTCCTCTTTTTCCTCTGAGACAATTTGGATAGGAGGAGCTGGGGCAAGAGCTCATTCCCTCATTTTTATGTGTGTTGGCTTAAGTGAGTGTTTCTTTTGGCACCCTGTGATACTGTCAGCTCCAAGAGTGTCTAAGTGCCAGCCTTGGGTATCCAGTAGGGACGGTGGTACCCAGAATACAAGCATCCGAGGATGGATGCTCCTCTGCTCAGTCCTCTCAGCTCTCTTCCCAGTGTCTCCTGCCAAACATCTTCCGCTGAGCAGCTGCCTGGCTCGCAGTACCCTCGTCTGGGCTTGAGGAAAGACCCTCTAGATGTTTACAAAAAGGTTTGAACTCACAAGCGCCCTACTCAGTATGGACATCCTCAAAACATCATAAAGTGAAGACGACAAGCGGAAACAAACAGCCACCGAGATCGCAGGAAGGACAAGGGGAGAGAAGGGAGAGAGTTGCAGCGGGCACCAGAGCGCACGCACGGAGAGCTTCTTACCTTTCCTCTTGGACCTCCTCCTCCTTCTCCTCTTGGACTTGCATTTGAGTTGACTGCTTAGCCCTCCAGATCCTCTGCCGCTCCCCAGGACAGATGCCATGCCAGTCGGGAGACTCAGAAAGGAGCCAGTCCCTAATCAATTTCGCCTTTCTTATTCTTGCTGCTGCGGCCGCGGCCCGTGAGTATTTCTACCTTTGCAAATCAAGTAGCAGGCTCACTTTTTAGGACTGGGAATGTTAGCAAGCACCTTCTTTCTAATTGCCCCGTCACTTGGTTCTGGATGAGCTGAAAGGCTCGGATGCGCGTTGGAGAGCTGAGCCCTTCCCTAGGCAGAAAGCGCTGGGAAAGATTCTCCCGCGCGTCCTGAGCGCCCCGGAGCTCTCTCCTCCTCCTCTGGGCTCCCAAAGCAGGGCTGCTACTTTTGCGCCTCTGCGAGTTGTTTGGCACCATCCACTTTAAAGCCAATCACGCAGGGAGCTCGTCTATTTGCTGCCGCAAAGTCTAATTAGATCCAATCACAACTGTCTTCTGGCTCTGACATCAGCAGCACCAGCTCTACCGCCTCTGGTAGCCTGCAAACTCAGCTCCCATTTGGACGGATGGAGCCGCCCAGGACAGACTGGAAGAAGACAGGCTTCAGAGGAAGCCACAACCACACCGAACTGGTTTTACTGGGAGAAGTCCAACAATGCAGTTTACAGAAAGGTGACTATCCCGGGATGTCAAGGCTTCTTGCTGCAACCACTTGATATGCTCAAAAGACGCAAGGACCAATTTCTCAAACCCAGCAGTTTTTAACTAGTTAGCTTAAGATGCTCATTGTCTGGAGCGGGAAGGATCTCTTCCTGTTTAGAACCTCAGAAATACTCTGAGATCTGTAACTGCCAAAGAGACAAGCTCTTTAGGAATTGTTTACTCAGAGACTGAATCTGTTTGCATGTTTGTTCTGATAGGTTCCCAGTCCACCTCCTTTTCATATCCCTAGGCTGCTCCTTTAGAAAAAAGGAAAACGCATGAAAACGGGTGTTCTGATTTCATCTGAATTTTATAGAGAGGAAATTCCCGTGCTGTTTTATCCACTGAATAATTACAGGAGAGACAGGTTAAGAGTGGGAAGGGGAGAGGAGGAGAGGGGAAGGGAGAGATGGGAGAGAGGGAGAGAGAGGAGAGAGAGAGAGAGAGAGAGAGAGAGAGAGAGAGAGAGAGAGAGAGAGAGAGAGAGAGAGAGAGAGAGAGAGAGAGAGAGGAATAAGGAGGAGGAGAAAGATCCTATGGTAATTGTAACATTGACATACAGAACGAAATATTGAAGAAGAAGTGGTCTACAAATTGAAGTGATGTTACAATTCTATTTTCAGAGATATCCTAGGTTTCAAGAATTGATTTCCAGAATATAGAACTCTAACGTAAGGAATATAATCCAGCCATTATCATGGCATCTTGTATTTAAATCTCATAAATTTTAACCATCGTAAGATTGGTTTGATAAACATTGACTCTAAAATTTGGTAGGATGAGTTTACAGGAAGACAGGAAAATTGTTTTCTGTTTCTGTTATTTACTGAGTTCTACATTTCCTTTTCCAAGCTCCTTATGGGCCTTGATATTTCCATATTATTTCTCTTATATAGGAAATAATTATCCCAGGGAACATTGGAAGTAATTAGGATGTCCATGGATTGCTATATTAGTGAGCTGGACAATTCTTGCTCAGCTTTCATTGATGATAGACAGAGACAGTGAATTTCAAATCCTAGCTCCACTGCTATGATTCGCAGTCATTTACTAAACAGTGCCTCAGTTTCCCCATCTGTGAAACAGAGATAACAACCACAGCTCCTTCACCGGGCCATTTCAGTCAGTATAGACAGTGACCAGCAGACAATAACCACTTTATGATTATTAGCTTCATCCAGTAGATAATTTCAAGAGACTCCTACAGGTAGGCCTTAGAGATAGAGAACTTGTGTTTTTCTTTCCTTTTAGACTGTTTGACCCCCTGTTTTATCTCAAAGGGAAGACTGCAGTCAAGTCAGCTTCTCCAGTTTGGCTTGGGTTCAACAATTCCCCTCCTGCAACATAACTGCTTAGCGCTACTGATGGTTTCTCCTAAGCATTGAGAAACTACATGACATTCTCATGTAACCTGCAACATAAGAGGCTGAGATTTTGTGGAAGTTCAGTGAGAGCTCCTATAATATATAGACTTTGTGGTGTACTTCAAGCAGTGCAGACATTGTGATGAATTATGATACATCAAATAAAAACAGAACAAACAAAAAAAAAACATGCAAAACACAAACCACGAGGCTCAGAAACTCTTCAGTGATGAACTAAATATACATGTCCTGGGGGCAACATTGAAGAAAAAAGCACATTCCTAGTGCAGTGCTTATAAGATCAAAGGTGAAAATTATGGAGTGTAACTGAGAAGACTTGAGTTGACCTTAGTTGTAGAAATTCCTTCCTTGGTACATCGGAGTCACAAGGGCATGAGGCAAATGTCAGAAGCAGTGCTATCCCTCAGCCTTGCAAAGGCTTGAGAGTTTCCACTGCAGTCAGAAGTACAGCTGTGCAACCTCACCTGTTAAACATCTGTGCTCCACACAGAATGTCTGTGTGCCTGCAGAAAACCTCTCACCAGGTTGAGTCACCAATGAAAGTTCTTTCAGATAAAGCTACACACAGATGACCCATTGCTACTTGATTATAGGAATTTATTAATGACCCTCTCATGCCCATAATCACACCAACATGATACCTCTGAGACTCATACATACTGACTCTTACTTTACTAAGGCAATAAGGGAGGCATAGAACAGAATCTTGAATATATATGTGTATATATATATATGTATATATGTGTGTATATATCCATACACACACACACACACACACACACACACACACACACACACACACACACATATATGGTTTTGGTGAGAAGGAAAAATGATTAAAATCTGAATGTGAACAGTTAAACATCAATTAGGCAAATCTTGGCAAATGTTTACTTTTTTTGAAGTTTCTCTGTTTATTTTGTGCATAATCTATGCAATATTACCATACAGGGATATTTCTCTTTGCTGTATTTGTTGTTTTTGTGTGTGATAATGCCTCATAGATGATATACTTAGTCCTCTAGTAAGGATGGGATAAAAAATGGATGTTTCTGTATTAGAAGCAGAAGTGGTTTATGATGGGAAATATTTACACTCAAGCATGGTCTCTAATATGTTTCAGTTTGTTATTGCCAGCAGGGCTTAAAGTGAGCAGTGTTGACAGTCTGCCACTCTTCTGATGAGTCCTTTTGCTTTTTGTTTTTTCCCTGGATCACTTGAGCGTAGCTTGGCAGCCTGAGATGATGAAAAGCAGCTGGAAGAGGCTTTAGGATCAGGAGCCAATCCCAATCCATTGCCCATCAGGAGCCATCACTGATGTGTCCTGTGCTAATTGTATTCAGTTGCTATTCTTCCCATAGAACAGAGAACTAGCAAAGGGTTTCCAAAGAGGAACCAGGCTGGTCAAAAATACCAACTAGAGGTCCACACCTCTGCATGCACCTATAAGCTGTAGATCTGGGTTAAAAACAAAAGAACTTGGGGACCATGCTGTCTCTGTTTATCCTCACATTCAAGTGTCTCGCCAGTTTCAATCATTTGTAACATTCCATGGTTCTCAGCATCCCTCTTACAATTAATGTAATAATCCAAATATTTTGCATGATGAATTTGCTAATTTCTTTAATTTCTATCCCATAACAGCTAAAATCATGTCCCCAACTCACCAATGCAAAACTCTGAGCCCAGAGAAGATTTTTCTTTTTTTGCATGATGCATCATAATTTCCAAAGTACAGGTGAAATTTAAATATTACTGTGAATCTCACTGAATTTAAACAACACATATTGCAAAGCAGAACTGAAACAAAGCTCATATTATAGACGAGGAGACTGAGGCTTGGAGAAAATAAGAAACATTTCAAAATTCATATAGATGTTTGCAAGGTCAGAAGACATGCTTATGTAGGGTGTTGTATCATCATGCAGTACTACTTTTTACTCTCTGCCTCTGGAATGCTAGGATTAAAGGCATGTGTGCCACCATTTTCTGGCCTCTATATCTAGTGGCTGTTCTGTTCTCTGACCCCAGATAAGTTTATTAGGGTGCACAATATTTTGGGGAACACAATATCACCACAAAAAAGAGTTATCTCTTTATACTGTGTGTGACTCCAATTATTACTAAAAGCAGCAGCAGGAGGGTCCCTGGCTTACATATATTACTCTCACACAACCAGATATCACCTGTTTTTCCTCAGAATAAATACACAGTGTGGAGAGAGAAGCCATCAAAGATGGTGGTAAAACCAAGCCTTGCATAGGCTATTCCAATATCATCTGAAAGGAACGTGTGTCAGAATTATACAGACTCTTACAACTGATGTGACCTTGAATTTTTGCCAGTAAGAAAATCAAGCAGCATGTATCATGAGGTACAAGTACACAGATGTTGTATTTGAGAACAAGTTCAAGTCTTCTTATTCCCACTATGAACGGTTTTCTTTGTGACTTCTATATTAGTATACAACCACACGCTTATTCTGGAGCCGTCATGGTTAGTATAAACTCATAAGGGCTTTAATCCTTTTATTTATTTACTTGTATTAGTACATATGAACTGAACAAAGTGGAAACTTCATTAGGACATTGTGGGTATACATAAGTTTTTATGTGTATCTTCATGATGTGTTCTTAGTATATCCTCTTTTACTTTCCTTTCTTGGCCCACCATTTCCTTTCCTTTTTCACATCACAAATAGACTTTTCTTTAATGTATGATATTTCTCTTTATTTGTCTGGCTTCTTTCATGGAACATGGTCATCTCCAGTTCTACCCATTTTCCTATAAATGAAATAATTTCATGATGGGTAAAACTCCATATATCTATCTGTATCTATATCATCTGTCGACCTATATCTATATATGTATAGATAGAAGAAACAATGCATGTGTTGTTTCTTTTACCCATTGACCCATTGATGGGCATCTAGGATAATTCTTCAATTCATGATGATGCATGCATTTCAAAACTTTTCATTTAAAAATACAGTTAACTTGATTTCTTATTGGTTTGTAAAGACAAGTAGGAACACCAATATAAATGAACATGACTTGCTTAGAGTCCAGATTTTGTTTAATATTCTCTCCCTACCAGAAAATTTCACTAGGTGGGAAATATCAGAACAAAGGTTTCCCTGGAGATATTTGTGTTTGCTGACTCACTATATCATCATACATGATATTAAGTTATTATTTTTACAAACAGAGACACAGTAGAAGAGGGCTATTTTACTCTTTCATCTTCTGCCATTGTTCTTAAATTTAAATAACTCACATCAAA